CACCTCGTCAGCGAGCCGTCGCTGGTCACCTCCAGCGGCGCGCGGACAGTGGAGCTTGGCTCGGGCGCCGGCTTCGTCGGGGCAGTGTGTGCCAAGCTGCAGGCAATGTCGAACGCCCGTGATGCACGCACCTTCATGACCGACATGCCCGGCCAGGTGATCACGCGTATCCGCGATACGCTCGCCACAAACGGCCTCGACTCGCCGCAGTCGTGTGTGGAGGTGCAAGAGCTGGACTGGCTCGAGATCAGCGCCGAGCGTCAGCAGAGTAGGCAGAGAGACGACCTTCCCATGCTCAACTTTCTTGATCGCGCAAAGCCCTCGTTGGTGCTTGCCGCCGATGTCGTCTACGACCCCGACCTGATCGAGCCGCTCGTCGAGTCGATCCGCGCGTGTCTGGAAGCCGGCACACGAGAATGCCAGGCTTTGGTGGCCAGCACCATCCGCAATGCGGACACGTACGGAGCGTTCAAGGCATCCTTGTCCGCACATGGGCTCAGCGCGAGCGTCGTCGAGTTGCGAAGCCCAGTCGTGCCGATCCCTGGTGACCAGCGAATCGACGTGCCAGATCTCCGCTTGTTCCCTTCCGTGCACGATCCTGCCTTGCATGGACGTGTAGAGCTACTCTGTGTCCGGTTGGAGTAGACCGCACCACTTGTGCTGTTCCCTTCTCATCATGTTGGCCACTGCAAGCAGACTTCTCTTGTTGCAGTCGCTCGATCCGGCCGATCTGGCAGGGATCCGCCCGATGCATGATCGGGACACGCCTCTTTCCGTGCCACAATTTGTGCGTGGAATTTTTGCTCAGGCCGCGAATTGATCGTGACTTCAAATGGATCCAACCAAAGAATGACACCCGTTCCGTCTGAGCCTATGGAGTCCACCCTCGACCCACAGCCGGGCCGGCGGGATGCGGTCAGGCTATCTTCGTGCGAAGTTTTCCGAACTTTGAGGCCCATGCCGACCGCGTGGCTCCAGCAGTACCAGATGGCAAGCAAAATTCGAATTTGGCGCCGCGGCACGGCATGGCAGCTGGCGTGGTCTCGGAACGGTCAGCAGCGCGAGCTCAAGTTCTGCCGACACGAGCCCGCGGAAAAGCCTCGCAGATCCGACCGAACGATGTCAGTCTTTGCAATGCCGAGACTGCCGACGAGGAGCACGACACGCCAGGAGCGGTGCTGCAGAGTCGAAGCTGCAGCATGTCGTTGGAGTGCATCGCCGCGCAGCATGCGGAATCACCGGCCCGCGGAAGGATGCAGCTCGTAAGTACGAATCACGTTGGAGCATGCAAACCGACGCGACCGAATCGGCGGTCGGCACCACGCTTATGCCGGAAAACCGGACCTACAACAGCGGGTGGAACCGAGATCTGGCGACGGAGTGTCGGGTCGAAGAAAGATTCAGAATGGCCATCGATCCAAACGCCGCCAAACGCGGCGAATTGAGCGACTCGACTGGGGGAGCATCGCCGTCGTGTCACCACAAAGAAAGGCGAGGCGACGGCGATCCTTCCACGTCGGCGTGCTTCTCGCGTGGCATGGACCAAATTGATTCCGCTGACACGGTGGTCATGACTGCGCAATGGACGTCAAAGAGCCGCGCTCTCGGCCTCTTGGAACCGTCCATCCTGGACACGACGAGGCCCTCACTGCAGGCTTCTGAAACTCGGATGTTTGCAGAAACACGACGGCATCGGTACGCCTATTCCGAAAGCATATCATCCGCCAAGCGTCGCGCGTTCCTGCGTGAGGCGGCGATCACGCCCCGCCCCTTGTCCCGAGATGGGGTTGTGAACGATGTCCGCGATGATGCTATATGTCCGCGACGATGCTATATCATAGACTTTGGCTTCGGTACAATGGATATTGATCTGGTGATCCTCACGGCGGCTACGGGACAATAGAATGGAGATGGAAATGGCGCTGCGTCGGAAGTGGTGCCTGGCGAATCCGGACTTGGCTCGGTTGCTTATCGTGACGGTCGGAGATCCAAGTGGGAGCGAAGCGAGCCATGGGCCCGATGGCCTCTTGAACGTCGGCAGGTGGTACGGCCGGGAGCGTGCAGGGTCGCGATGATCATGGCCTGCCTCAGGCTGCATCGGCGGCCCTGGGCTAAAGCCCTGCCGCTCAGTCTCAAACCAGATGCGAGAAGTAAAACAATAAGCGGACACGTCGAGCTTGGAACTGGCCGGGGCCAGTTAAGCTGACGCTGATCCACGACCTGCTCCGCGAGCAAAACAGTCTCGAGACACGCACTCGGATGGCTGCTACCGTCTGGCTAGAGCCGTACCGTTGTTCGCGGAT